CGGTGTCCACACCCAATAAGGAGGAAATATGCTAATTGACTGCCCAACCTCAAAGATGGTGGCACCCACAGCCAATAAGGAGGGAATATGCTAATTGATTGCCCTGACTTCAAAGATGGTGGCACCCACAGCCAATAAGGAGGGTATATGCTAATTGATTGCCCCACCCTCAAAGATGGTGGTGCCCACAGCCACAAGATGGCAGTGCCCAGTCCCCTCAGCCCCACTGCATGCCTGCCTCCAGAGTCCCCCATTCCCCTCAACCCCCCAGCTGCCCAGGGCCAGCCCGAAGCATAGGCAAGCCTTGGATGGCGGCTGCCCAGCTGCCCAGGGCCTCCTGAGGCTCAGATAACCAGGGCCGGCCATGGCTTATGCTGCCGGCCATGGCAGCAGCAGAGATGTGATGGTGGTGTCGCCTTCCCTGGATTTCCAGGTCACCTCCTGCCCCTGAGGGCTCCCAGACTGTGAAAGGGGGCAGGCCGGGCTGAGGCACCCCCCCCCCCTTCCAGTGAATGAATTTTCATTCACTGGGCCTCTAGTATATTCATATTAGAACAGCCCAAAGAAACCTCATATGTTAAATATGCTAGTGATCCTTAAAGATATGAACAATGTATTAGTAAAACTTCAGTCAGTAAAAAGTCAGAACAAGCCCTGGCCAGTGTGCTCAGTGGTTAGAGCGTAGGCCCAAGAACCAAAGGGTCGTGGGTTCGCTCCCCGACTGGGTAGGGGTGCATATAGAAGGAAACTTATCCGTGTGTGTATGTCTCTCTCCCCAATCTCTCCCTTCCACTCTCTCTCTCTAAAAAATGTTCAGAACAATATATAAAGCCCAAGCCTGTGGATGCTACTGACACTACTGCTCTCATAGAAGAGGCTCTGAAAAATAAATTTACTTACAAGTATTGAAGTGATAACCAAGATAGGGCTGAAAAAGGAATTCCAAAGTCTGCATCAGAGGCCACTTCAGAAACTGTTGTTTGGGCTACACATGTTGAAGACCACAGAAAAAATAAAAGCTTTAATTGAAAATGTTTCAAATTCTTAATGGACAAGGAGCTGAGAAAGACTATCCTAGTTCAGCTGTTGGTTTGTTAGGACTGTTTGAGTAGTAGAAATCACACTATTAGCAAATACCTGAATTTAGTATTCATTAGTCTCCTGTTAACTCTCCTTAGAGGATTAAGCAATAGCAAAAGCACTCTAAGTTTGTGTTTGCTTTTATGAGAAGTTCAGTTCTAAAGTTTTCCAGAACTCACATGTATTCTGACACCCCATGTTTATTTTTAAAAGAACATATTTTTATTGATTTCAGAGAGGAAGGGAGAGATAGAAACATCAATGATGAAAGATTCATTGATTGGCCGCCTCCTGCACACCCCCTACCAGGGATTGAGCTTACAACCTGGGGCAAGTGTCCCAATAGGGAATCAAACTGCATGCGACCTCCTGGTTCATAGGTTGATGGTCCACCACTGAGCCACCGCAGCCAGGCTGACATACCATGTTTTTAATGTGTAGTCAGGATGTTTAGGTTTCCCATCTTGAAAACAATTATATACATTTCAGAATGAAGAAAGGGCATTTGTAGATGTAATTTTTGTTAACACTAATTTATCTGTATAAATGTTCTCTGCTATATATTTAGATATAAAGCAGTTTATGTAAATTACATAATGAGGTACTGTCATCATTTGTTTTCACTGATCATTTACTAGTCAGTGATGGAAGAGCTGACATAACAGTTCTTTGGAGTGAATTGATATTGGAGTCTTCTCACCTTGAATAGAACTTTTAGATTTTCTCTCACATTTTCATTGAAATGGGGTTTGAGTAGGAACTGAAAAATGCTCACTGCTGAGATTCCGTAATGCTTTCCTTTAAAAAGGACAGTCAAGGATCATGAAAGCTGCTTTCACCTCAGAGCCATCTAGTGCCCAGGAAGAAAATGTAGTTTGCAAATAGGGAGTACTCAAATTATAGATTTAAATCTCTTTTTAAGTGAAAAACAGAATGTACGATGTAGGTTTCCTTTCAGTTTAATAAATGGCATTATAAAGATGACATGTTGATAAGTTAATACTTCTAGAAATTGTTGGCATAATGAAGTTTAAATTTTTTTAATACTGGACAAATTACTAGCTTTATAAAATGGAACACTGAATAGGCAAAATAATTTCCTGTAAGTTGTTCATCATTGGTCAGAATGCTGTTCTGTTGAATTACATTATGCAGCATAAACCTTAGGTATTATTAGAAAGTGGAGAACTGCTCTTCTCATCTAGGGATTCTAATGAATTGCTGTAAGTGATCATTTTTAAATACTTAAGAAATCTTTATGATTTTTAAAAATTTCTGGTAAATGTAGCTACAGTTAGTTCCAAATCTCCTACTATGAGTAAATAGTTGGATTTATTATTTAAATCAGTTTTAAAAAGTTGTATTACCTGAGGTAGGGTGGGAGATGAGAATAGTTGATAGTCAATTTTAAGGTATAGAAAATATATACAATGTTCTAGATGTTAGCAAGTAGTAGTTGGGGTAATTTTACATGGTTTGGTTATTCAGCTTAATTCTGAACTGTGGTTTATTTTACGCATACTGTTGATGTATATCGTTTCTAATTATTTTTTTATGGTTTAAACATTCTGCCTGGTTATTCCTGGATTATTTATACTTCAATGTAGATACATAATCATAACTTAAAATATGTTGATCTACAAACCACTGGATAACTGGAAAATAATTGTACTTACTCATATCCAGTTCCCATATTTTTCCTGTATAAACATGAAGACCATTCTCCCTTACCACTTTCTCATTAATGGGTGAAACATGACTGGTTGTATTCAATGAAATGTGAGTGTATGTTTCTTCTGGGCTAAGGAATTTGAAAGCCACTATGTTGCTCCACACTTTCTCCTCTCCGGTCTTAGTGGTCTTGGAGGTCACATTTTGGGATATTGGTGTCACAAGATGTAGAGAACTCAAATCTCTAAGTCACAATATAAAGGAAAATCCATTTATACCTTCAACCCATGCCAACACCCCCCCTACACACACACACACAACCTGAATCAGACTTTACATGAGTGATAAACATTTGCTATGCTAAGCCAATAAAATTTGAGGTTTCTTTATTGGCACAGCCTTGTTTCAGCCTATATTGATGACTGTGAATATTGTTACAATTTCATCTTCCAGTGGCTGATGAACCAGATTCTGCAAATTCCTTGGGCATACTACCTTTTAGGAATGACACGAAGACAGCCTTCAGTTGATCAGCAGCCTAGTCAGGACCTCTAGCCAGGATCTCCAGCCAAAGTTCTGGTCGGAGTTCTGGTTGGGAACTGACGAGGATCTCAAAATTTTAGGTTTCTTTATTGGCACAGCCTTGTTTCAGCCTATATTGATGACTGTGAATATTGTTACAATTTCATCTTCCAGTGGCTGATGAACCAGATTCTGCAAATTCCTTGGGCATACTACCTTTTTTTTGTCCAGAATATTATTATGATGCTGGATAATAAATTAGAAACCTCCAGAGGAAACAATAATATGTGACCAATCATGAGCTTTGCTAAGTAATGCTTGTGTCTCATTCTCTATTTCTCCACAGTCACATTAAGATAATGAATCTCTTTCAGGAAAAGGATTATGATATTCATGTATCACGTTTATGTGCTTTGGATTCAAACAAATGTGGCTTTGCCACATAGTAGCTGTGTGGTTTAAGACAAGTCACTTCACCTTCTTTTTCCAGTTGTCTCGTTGGCTTTACATACTACAATACAAAACCCGTTTAAAAGCATATATTGCCACTGGGGCGGTGGGGGCTTGCCCGGGTGGGAATGGCTGGTGGTGGGGGCGGGTCAATTGGGGGAAAAGGAGACATATGTAAAACTTTAGACAATAAAAAAAAACTGTAAAGATAATAATATATTGCAGAAATTCTAAAATTGTACATTTACTTGAAAAGTTGTTTTCATCAAGAAGTTTTTCAACATTTTACCTTAAATATTTTTATGATGGGATAAATGCAAATAAAAATTTAAAGGTAAAGTACAACCCAACTCACCTTTTCGTTTTTGTTTTTTTTTTAATTTAAAAATGTTTATTGTAGTATGCATATCCTTAACATTTTCTACAGGATTAATATAACATTATCAGAAAAGCATGTATTGCTACATAAAAGATAAATACAGAATTTGCCATGGATATCAAACATTTTTGTGTTTCCATGTGTTAATATTGTAGAACATTTTCTTAATTTTATTGTACTTCAAAAATTATTTTTAAAAACTTGTTAAAATTAATAGTAGGTGTTGGCAGAGTTCACAGAAATGTTTGAGGGGAATATTACTTCCTATACAAGTGAGACCCTGACATTCTACGGCAGAGGTCACAGGTAATGTCCATGTGATAAATATTCACTATTTTATTGTATAGATTTTGTATATGAAATTACTGTAATATTTCACTGGTAAGAAATCCAACATGTCAAGTAATGCCAAATGTATATGTATGTTCTGGAAGATGGTACTGTAAAAGAGTAAATTTGTGAACATTTTAATATATTGCTATCATCATAACAAATTATGCCAATGTGTTTTTCATGATTTTTTCCTTGTCAACACAGTAAAACCTTCCCATTAATACATGTAAGGTATTATTTATTTATTTGGGTGTATTGTTTGAATAACAGAATGATGTCTTACTGAAAATCAGACTATATTTTAAGCTTTAGAGGTTCTCTTTTATATTAGTTGTGGTCCAGATAGTAGAGTACCTTTATTTGAAATAGAAAACATTTTTAATTTCTCAGACTCTTAATTTAAAAATTAACAATGCTTTTAAAGGCTTTCATACTTTGGCCACTATCAATTTCCTTTAAACATCTTAAAGTAATGAGGCTAAACCTAGATGAGAGATTTCCAGCTGTAACACCACACAATCTTAACACCTACTTGTAATTCATGTTTAAAAGTTGATTTGGTTTCGCAAGTGAGAGCAATCATAACTACATATTAAAACGATGCAAGAATTTTCATGTTTGATTACTAATTGAAAGAAAGAATATGTTTCTTCTTCCTCTCTTGTTTCTACTTCATTTCTTAAAATTCTCCAGTTTTCCTCCATTTGATGAGATCGCTTTATGGTAGCTTCACCACCACAACACATGCACCAGCTCTTCCAATGTTAACAGGAACTTCCTAACACAGGAAACAAAAACAGGAAAAGAACTGATGTTTAAGTGAATTCTGTATTTAGCATAATATAGCATACTAGAGTTGATAAAGTCCTTAGCTATTCTGGTCTAACCTTCACCTTTCATAAAGATAAGGGAAAATGTAGCCCAGATAACAGTCCAGTATGGTAGAAAAAAAAACACCAGTGTTTAAAAAGATGTACATATGAGATTGAGGAGCAAGGGATCATGAGTAAATTTCACCTCTCTGGTAATTTTCTCACTTGAAAAATTACAGCTAATAATACTTATCCTTAAGGTTTTTGTTAGAGTTAAGTGAGATAATAAATGAAAATAATTTGTCATATAGAAGTTATAACTCCATTATTTGTTCTCTTTCACTCTTTCTAACATCACACAATGAAAGAATGAAAATCCAGGAACAGAATCTAGGCATCTTAGGTACTGGCATACACTTTTCAGAAAAGTAAATTCCATCAGTTTTAGACCCGTGGTCGGCAAACTGCGGCTTGCGAGGCACATGCAGCTCTTTGGCCCCTTGAGTGTGGCTCTTCCTAAGCCTTAGGAGTACCCTAATTAAGTTAATAACAATGTACCTACCTATATAGTTTAAGTTTAAAAAATTTGGCTCTCAAAAGAAATTTCAATCGTTATACTATTGATATTTGGCTCTGTTGACTAATGAGTTTGCTGACCACTGGTTTAGACAATCATTTTGATTATTGTATTTGACCTAACTTGTTTGCTAATATGTTTTTTTTACATTTCTAGTTGGTCTTAAGGATTGATACAACCAACATGGAATAATTTGAATGATTTCAAGGGTCTTAATGAATCAAGTTGTTGAAGGAACGAGATAGAGACCCATTATCAGGTATCATTACATTAACATATATTTAGAACAGTAACCAACACACTATGTAGAATACAGAGCAGCAGGAAGTCAGTATAAGAAAAGGTTAAGTTAGATACCAAATACAAGGTTGGCGTGTTTGTGGAAATGGTGAAGAGTTAATCATATTCCATTTTTATTAACCAATTATTTAATTAACAAACCACCATTAGATATTTTGGAATAAATCTAGAGCTATCACTGGAAAAACTGTCACAAGCATCAAGTTTGCCTTGAGCATCCTCGAGATGTCCTTTCAGTGCCCCCAGCTTATATACTGTCCTTAAAATTTCTTTTGTTAGATGTCCAGAACTTTTGAGAGGATTTAATTCCAGTCTCTTACTATGCACTAAATTTCTTGAATGACTGATTAAAAGTTATGACTATTGCAGTTTATAAATATCTATAAGGAGGGGATTAAAATATTTTCCTTCTTGGGCACCAGTGATAAGAAGGGGCAGATATTTATGGATGAGGATGTTGCTCTTTGGTTCTCAAGTCATAATATATACATAGGAAATTGGCCAAATAGTAAAGCTCTTGAATTCTGTATTTAGCATAATATAGCATATTAGAGTTGATAAAATCCTTAGCTATTCTGGGCTAACCTTCACCTTGCATAAAGACAAGGGAAAATGTAGCCCAGATAACAGTCCAGTGTGGTAGAAAAATGTAGCCCAGATAACAGTCCAGTGTGGTTGAATCTGATTCACTATAATGTGAAAGAAATGATTACATAATGTCAAGTGACTGACTTTCATATAAATACGGATGGATCCTGCGAATGATCAATTAGATCATCTAGTAGTTTTCTATAGCATAGATAAAGCATGTTTTACAAATTTCATGAAATGAATCTGGTTAGACCCTAAAGATGAAGAGAATGAAACTAATTTCAAACATATTTTAAAATATATTTTATTAAAACCTGAAATATCCTAATTTGAATACTTTTAATAAGAGTACCTGTTTCCATTCATCTTTCTGTGCATCGTATGACTCAACGGTATTCAAATAAGAATGTCCATCATATCCTCCAACCACAAAGAGTTTGTCTCCTAGAGTACACACAGCAACAGCATCTCGAGGAACACTCAGAGGCGCCATAGTTGACCATGAATCATGTTTTGGATCATACCTTAAGAGGTTTAGGAATACAATAGAGAAGGAAAGTCTGATATAGTATTAAAATTAAAAATAATCGGCTTTAATAAAAAGTATACTTATCTAATTTAAGAAATTAAAGTACCTTATAAATATCAAGTGTAGTCTAACTAGCAAATGTGAAAGATAAGTCCATGACAAAACTCTCTTCAGCCACCAGAGGACACTCAAAGCATATAAAAATGTATCTGCTTTCCAAAAAGATCATGCATTTCTTTCATTGGTACTTAGATTTTCTATGAGGAAATTTCACTTATTAGTGTCTTAACGTGTGAAAAATGTTCCCTCTCTCATGTATTATGCTCGTCTCATTTTTCTCTTATTCTCTGTATATCAAAGTTATAAATGAAATGCCTGATCTTGCTTATATGAGAATTCACATTTTAAGTAAATCTTAACATAATTTTTTTAAATTTAAATATATTTTTATTGATTTCAGAGAGGAAAGGAGAGGGAGAGATAGAAACATCAGTAATGATAATCATTGATCGGCAGCCTCCTGCATGCCCCCTACTGGGGATCAAGCCAGCATCCCCAGGCATGAGCCCTGACCTGGAATTGAACTCATGACCTCCTGGTTCATAGGTTGATGCTCAACCACTGAGACACACTGGACGAACTGAATATTATTGTTTTTTAGTTTCATAGAATGTCGTACCATGGTTTTAATGCTACTTTTGGCTACAGTGGCCATAGCTTTATTCTATATTTTTCCCCTTTGAGAGTTCCTGTTTATCTTTGCAAGAGCCTAGGATTATTTCCATTTTAATTTGAAGTTTACTTTTTATCCCCAAACCTTCCTCTAAGCAAAATGAAAGATAATTCAGTAAGTAATATCAATTAAAATCTTCATCCAGGAATTCTCTCCTAAAATTTGAAGTCTATATTTTAAAAATACATAATACAAAAATCTGAAAGAAGTGAATACTGAAAGAAAACTCCTATAATTATACATGGAAATGCTCTTTGATTTTATATTGGCTTATTTGTAAAATTTAATGATAAAGATGTATTTTACAAAGAGACATTAATTTATTAGCCTCTCCTAATTTCCTTATATTTCTATTACCCCTCTTATTTATGTTTTTAATCTCTTTAATCATATTTAAATCATCTTATTCCAGCTTTTATTTGATCTGACCTTATGTCCAATAATATTTTTAATAATGTCTGATATTTTCAATGATTAAGATCACCTCAATATCCAGTGCATATTTTTTAGTATCACGTAGCATATTACTGTAAATTCTGATATTATAAATCCAGAACCAGATAATCCATAGCTGTGTGCTTTAGCTAAGCTGCATCTTCAACACAATTGCTATTGTTATACTCTGAGGCTGCAGTCAGCATAAGAGTACACACATGTATGAATGGTGAACCAGGGATCATAAGATTTCCTTAGAGATTTGCAACCAAAACCCAAGAGTGTCATGCATATACATGGTAATTAATACTAAAAATATGGCTAATGTTAATATTATAGGGATACTGCTTGATTAAATACAGGAATCTGGAGAATGTTGAATCTTTTGAAGAAAAAACATTTGTAATATGGTTACTATCTGTAAAGACACACAGGAGACATTATTAAACACTAGAGGCCCGGTGCATGAAATTTGTGCACTCGGGGATTCCTCAGCCCAGCCTGCACCCTCTCGCAGTCTGGGAGCCCTCGAGGGATGTCTGACTGATGGCTTAGGTCCGCTCCCCACATCCTTAGTGCTGCCACGGAGGTGGGAGAGGCTCCTGCCACCACCGCTGTGCTCACCAGCAGTGAGCCCGGCTTCTGGCTGAGTGGTGTTCCCTCTGTAGGAGCGCACTGACCACCAGGGGGCAGATGCTCAATGCAGGAGCTGCCCCCTGATGGTCAGTGAGCAGCACAGCGACCGGTCGTTCCGTCATTTGGTAGATTTGCATATTAGCCTTATATTATATAGGATAAAGTTAGTCATAACATCTCCTTCAAATTAAAATAGCATAATGTCTTTCCCTTTGTTTGACTTGCTTTCCATCTCTCCTTATCTTAA